CATTCAAATCCTTCAAGTCTCTAAATTCATCCTAATGTGGTAAGACTGCAAATCAAAATTGTAGAGAAAGAGAGAAGGATGGAGTTGTCTGGACGAGAGGTGGAGGTAAGCCTTTGAAGGAGGTTTAATGTTCTGTGTTTGTTAGTTGGTGAGGGAGTTTTCTTTCCATTTTTTATTTGAACAATAATTGCATACTCATCGATCATTAGGTGATCTTTATTGACCGATGATGTGGTCCAATTACAAATACACATATCATCTGTTATTTCACAATCATGAAATTATTAATAAATAAGCAAAACAATTTTTTTGGAAATAAATTTAGTTACCCTCTCTATTTTTTTTTTTTTCCAAATTTTATAATTACAAAAAATGTTTATATTTCACATAGAGATCACCTACTCATTTTCGTTTTTATTTTTCCTTGGTTTTCTTTTCCTTTAGGCTCCGTTTGGCTAGATAAAAATAAGCAAGAAAAGAAAAGAAATGGAAAATAAAAGAAAAGGGAAGTGAATGAAAAGAAACGTTTTTTTCTATGAAGCATTTGGTTAGCATGAAAATTTATTCAGGAAAATTGTATTAAAATATTAGTTTGTTAGTTTGGATGGCATGAAAATGAAAAGAAAGTGATTATGTATACCAAAATTACCCTTATGATTTCAAATACTAAAAAATAAATAAATTTGTGTTTGATAATGTTTATTTTATTCAAAGTTTTAATAAAATGATGAATTATTAAATTTTAATAATATAATTATTTATATTGTTTAAATTAAAAGAATACTTCAAGACTTCTTAGGTAGAACCATAGAAGCAGAACTATTTATTCATTTAAGAGAAATAAGGAAGCTTAAAAATAAAAATAAAAAATTTGGGCTCATGAACTCATGGGCTTTCAACAAGAGAACACAAAAAGAGAAAAAATATATATATATTTATTATTCTCTGTCTATATAATAGAGGTGTATAATATATATGATACAATGTATTTATTTGGAACCTAAAAAAAAAAAAATCATCCAAATAGTATTGCAAGAGAGCATGTTTAGGGAGAAGTTGCCTTCTAGAAGTCCACTAAAATATGAATTGTTAAAGAACTTGCCTCTAGTAGAAAAGAAACTCAATTAGAAAATAAAGAAATTAATTGTTTTACATGATTCACTTGTTGGATAAAATATGAACTTCAAATAAAAAGAACCAGTTTTTACGAGAAAATATTTTCCCCGTGTCTTGTGTGAGAAAAGTTTTGGGGGAAAGTAGCCTAATGCGGGAAACTATATTTTCTAGGGAAAACTACATATAAGTAAAGTTAAGAGCCTTAAATAACAAATTGACCAGTTTTTAAAGTTATTTTTTTATTTTTATTGGATTAAGCAAAATAATTACAAATACATCAATATTTATTGCTCAGGTCCAAAATATCCTCACAGTCTTATTTCAAAATACCAAAATATCCTCCTTAAAATTATATAATTTTAGTATAATAAAATAGATAATTTAAAATTAGTTTGACTAGCTAATAATAATTCTCTATCACTTATATTCCTAATCAGCTGCCAATGTCCAGGGCACCACCAACCTGGCAGGTTTTCTAGATCCTCCTCCCTTTCTCTTCACACACATATATAACTATAAATATGTAATAATTTTTGTTCACAAGTTTCAGAGATAGGCTTTAGAAGTATGTTATAACTTGTGAAATTAGGGATCTTGCATAGAGTTATCAATTTGGCATCTCAAAATTTGTTGTAATTTTTTATAATTGATTGAAAAAAGAAACAAATAACAACTAGAGACCTCTGGATAACAAGAAAGAAACGCACATATGGATATTTCAATACTTCATATTATCCTACCAAAAAAAAAAAAAAAAACTTCATTACCCTACTGTCCAGGGATATGAGATTCTTGATAATTCTCATCATAGTTTTTATATCTTCTAATATATTAACAATAATAATAGCTTCATTTAGGTAACAATTGAAAATTCTTCTATGTGATATATCACCACTGCGCCATAGTAAGTTTGTGGAGCTACCTTTTCAATTATTGCCTTTTAGATCAGATGAAATCAATCCCAAAAGGCAATCCAATGCCATGGATGACGAAGAGAAGAGATGGAGAATCTTTATTTGCTAATTAAATTAATTCTTAATTATTTATTTTAATTTTTAAAATTAGATAATTTAAATAAGGATATTTTTGTATTTTGTAATAAGAGTATGAGGATATTTTGGACTTTAGAAATAATTCTTAATGCATTTGTAATTATTTTATTTAATTCAATCAATGTGAAAAATTAACTTTTAAAATTGACCAATTTGTTATTTAGAGCTTTGAATCCTATTTATATGTAGTTTTCCCTATTTTCTATTATGATTCTTTTTCTATCTATCAAAACTGTAAAAAAAAATTAAAAATTTTCTCGTTCCTTTCTTTTCTACTTGATTCCATCTAACTGGTTAGCATGAAGTAGGTAAAAAGGAATAGAAACGGAAAAAAATATTAATTTTGGGAGTTTGGTTACTAGGAAAGGGAAAAAATTTGGGATAGTGGGATTCCCGCATCGATAAATTTTCCCCAAAATATTTACCCGCATAAAACACAAGAAAGTTTATTTTCTCGCACAAAACTATCATTTTATTTTCAAATATCCTATTATGCCTGGTTGTTCCTTCTTTTTTATTTCACATAACAAATATAGCGTGGTTATTAAATTCAGACTAGGAAGATATTCCAACAACTATTATATATTGGGACACATAATTTGATTATATCCAATAGGTCGTTACCTAAAATTTTTAAAAATAAATTAAGAGTTGAATGTAGAATATTAAATAATATAACTTCTAATTTTTATCAATATCTCATAGAAATATGAGAAGAGATTAATTTGAGTCAGTTTCACATGGATGGAAATCAATATAATATTTATTTTTTACTATCTATACAACTTTGAACTAAATAGAGTTTTATACTGTGTGATTTTTGCCAAAAAAAAAAAAAAAAAAAAAAAAAAAAAAAAAATTGCATAGAAGTGGTTCATATTCATAAAAAAATATGAAAGAGGACTGATAAATTATACACGAACCATAAAATTATTATGCATAAATTATAAAATATATTATTTTTGCATAACAATTTTTATCCTAGAGTTGTCATTTAATGTTTCTTTGAGGGGGATTAAAAAAAAAGATATATTTAATAATTCAATAAAATGTGAGTATGTTATCATAAATGAATTATATTCTACATATAAATATAAATAATTATTATTGAAAACACAAAATAAAAAAATTTGGCAACTAAAATCCAGTCCTCCTTAGTTTTTCTAATTTAAATATGAATATAAATAATAATAATAATAATAATAATAATTAATAATCTATTATTTTAAGATAAAACATGAGTATGTTATGATAAATGAATTATATTCTACATATGAATATAAATAATTATTATTTAAAATAGAAAATAAAAAGAATCTGACAACTAAAATGCAGTCCTCCTTAGTTTATCTAATTTAAATATGAATATAAATAATAATAATTATTATTATTAATCCATTATTTTACCATTTAATTGTTAAAAATTAATATAAATAATTGGGTATAAAGATGATTCATCCAACACAAAATTAATTTATTTTTTAATATTTGAAATTATGAGGATAGTTTTGGTAAGTAAATCATTTTCTTTTTCCTTTTATGCTATCCAAACTAATAAAATAATATTTTTTCATAACTTTCTTGAAAAATTTTCTTACTAACTAAATGCATACAGGAAACTTGATTTTTCTTTCTTTCACTTCACTTTTTTTCACTTTCACTTTTCATTAAAAATTTTCGTCTAACTAAACGGACCCTAAAAGATGTACCGGAAAAGATTTTGGGCTAAGCCGGTTAGGGGACTAGTCAATGATACTTTACACGACCAAATTCCCAATTCCAAGTTGATGTTATCTTCAGCTTCTTTTGACATACTTCAATTAGTATAGTCGGATAGATAATTGGTAAGTTCACGGGTGACTACCATTGAGCCAAAGTAGCACCATTCTTAACTTTATATCCTTTCATATATCATTTCACTACATCATTCATTTTCATATTAACGTAAAACGCATTAAAATATAACTTATGTTTTTATAATATGAAGTTTAAGTTATATTAATAAATAGCTAGATTGAGACAATTTTTTAGAGGTAAAAACTCAAATAGATCTTGTAATAATAATAATAATAATAATAATATTTTTTTTATTTTTTATTTTTTATCCGAACAATTAATAGGAAGAGCTCATTATTTTTGTCATTAGGTATTCTTTTTAATAACCTTACCCATAGAATGTTGGTCAAACATATCCCTACTCAAATTTTTGAGTCCTTACTAATGAAAATCAATTGTTTGATTATAAAATGATTTGTAACACAAATTCCGTTTGTTTTGATATAAAATATTCTTTTTAGAAATATTTTTTTTTCAGGTAAAATATTTTTTTATTTTTACTTTGTCAGTATTTGACAAAGGTCTACAGTCGAGGTTAGATAGAGTCCATCGAATGAGATATGTAAAGTAACTTGTCGAAAATTATGGATAAATTATTTTTGTTAAATTTTAATTTTTTTTTTTTTTCATAAACGTAAGAAAATAAAAAAAAGAACGTCCAAACAAATGGAATTTAAGTTTGATTAGAAGGAAAAAAAAATAGGAATAAGTGAAAGAAAGTAACGGACCCTAAGAAAGTTGTTAAATAATTCCGTTTAAACTGATTTGTTTTAAATTATTATTTTTTTAAAATAGCAGTAATGTGAATATAGTCCAATACAGTAACTTTTTTTTTTTTAGGACATTCAAAAACGAGTAGGTTATTATACCATTCATTTAATATATTATGCATATATTTAATTTCTTTTTATTTTAAAATAGAAATAAAATAATTGTCACTTCAAAGTTTAAACATAAATTGTAAAGAAATGAAGTATTAAAAAGCGACGAGTCAATTACTCAATCAGTATTCAATAGGAACTTGCCATGTACACCATATGCAAAACTACGCACCGTGCGTACCATAGACGACGCCGCCGTATAGGGCGAAGTCGCGAGCCGCTCAACTGTTTCTCTCTCAGAGCTTTCCGAGAACCGCCATAGCACAAACACCGTCGCCTGTGCGTAGCGCGCAGCCCGGCGTATTTCTCTTATTGGACGCGAATTTCCCGTTGAATCGTTGAAAGAATCAATCCAATCGAGTGATCAATCTATTGATCTTCAGAGGATCGCTCTATGTGGATGCGGTATCCTGTGGAGTCTAGGGTTTGGCTTGTACTTTTCTCCTGTTTGATTCTTCTGAGCTGGTTTCCAGGTAATTTTCTCCGAAGAATTAGGGTTTCTTTTATTTGATCACTAATTTATGAATCAGGAATCCAAAATTTTGATTTAATTGGCAAGTTTATGAGATGGACTGAATTATATTAAATATAATCTTGTTTTAGCTAGTAGTATCTGATGTTCTGCAATTGATTGGTTTAGGGTTTTTGGCTGCTATAGAATGTTTTTTTTTTTTTTTTTTTTGATCAATTCTGTTTTTGTCTTAGAATATAAATAAATTATTTGAATTTCAAGAATATATACACACACACTCACACACACACACACACACACACACACACACACACACATATATATATATATGTATGTATGTATGTATGTATGTATACTATAGGAATTGAATTTTCGATTGTTAGTATTGACATGAAATTGTGAACTCTAATTGAATTTTCGATTGTTAGTATTGACACTCACAAGGGTGAAGAATTTAATAACTTAATAGTTGTTATCTGACTATATAATTATTGGAAATATAAATACTGCTTTTACTTGAATGCTTCTCATAGTTTAGGCAGTCTCTTTGGTTCGTCATAAATGGAGTCAAGATAATGAATGATTCTTTCCTTCAGACAAATTAAATGATTCCTAATTTTTTGTTTTTAAGGGGTTTCTCTCAATGTAAAATGGTTACCAACAAAGATATAACTACAAAGTTCCAGAAGGCTCTGGCAGATAGTTGTTTAGGAACTTGGGGGATTTTATTCTAGATGTGTTGCTTTTGTCATAGAAACTAGGATAGCCGGCTGGTAACCAAGATACAGCGTGATTCCTACTTCCAGCAAATGATGATGTTTACTACTATAACTGCTAGATTTATGTTGATTATTTACTTTTTGTAAACCGTCTATAAGCCTTGTTGCTAAGTAGAGGGAGCTTGTCACTCTCCTTCCCTCTCCAACCTCCCTTCTCCCTCCTCCCCCCTTTGGCTCTCTTTGAAGCTGCAAGTGTGTATCATGCACTTTTCTAAGTAGAAAGTGTGAAATAACCGGCATATATCTGCAGTCTAAATTTTGCATACACACACACACACACACACACATATATATTCACTTTTAATCTTGAAAAGACATGCGAATTTGATGTGAAACTTTTGCCAAGTCTACTCTCAAAATCTATAACTAACTGCTAACTGTGTAATTTGTGTGTATTATTTCTATCATTGGATCATCATAGGCAATTGGATGATCTCTTACCTTAAGTACGAAAAGTTTCTATCAAAAGGCTGACATTGAAACTGTGTTTTCAGCCTCTGACGGAATTTCCAAATATAAAATGCAAGCGATGTGATCATGTGGGTTCTATGAGTAAGACATCATAAATCGGATGATATATTTGATGAGTGGGAGTTTTGCCCTTCTGATTTTACAAACTATGATGGAAAAGCTACCCATTCCAAGGACAAGGAATTCAAGGCTACATTTTCCTGTCCAGATTGTGTACATCTTGGAAGCGGTGAGTGTTGTCTTTTTAACAGACCATAGTTCTTCTTTCCAGATTTTATGGAGTTGGTCCAGGATGTATATATGTGGCTTTCTTGCCAGATTAATGTGTTAGTATAGGGATAATTTAACATTTTAATAAAGAGAATGCTTTCCATTTTGACTTTTTTCCCCCTTTATCTATCAGTTCTGTTTCATTGAAGATGTTTTGTGTTTTCAGAAGTTGAGAAAAATAAATGAATTATTGTATCAACTGGTAATCTAAATGTTGCCGTCATCATATTTGAATAGACAAATTTGTAGAAAATTGTTTGGAGGAAATGAAGTGGTTGGGCATAAGATTGTAGGATGGCTAGGGGTCCGAGGCTGTTTTTTGAAGTAATGAAGGACCAGGACGATTGGACATACAGAAGTTGAGTGGGTATAATTTTAGGCAATCCCGTTTATTGTCCCGAAGAGGTAGTCCATTTGAGATTTGGTCCACTGATTGCATGGTGAATCTGGGCACTCTTGAACCGATCCAAGTGCACCGTGCATTTCTTTAATGATCATTTTGTGTGTTTATGCATAGTTTTAGTGAATTTTTGTCCTACAGAGAGGTACCATTAAAGAAAATGGGTGAGATTACTGCAAAGGTTCACTTAGAATCATTTTTAGGCTCTCTGGAAATGGCTGTGTTTGAAGTTTGTGCCATATAGTGGTATGGCTGACCTTTCCTGTGGCTTCATTCAGGATCAAGGACTTCTATATTGGAGTGCTGCAAAGTACACTTAGAGATCATTTGATTTCCATGACACGTGTAAACGTGTAGACAACCTTTAACCTATTAAACCATTGTCATTTTCATGCTGTCAGGCCATGAAATTATTCTTTGGTTCATTTAGATAAATTATGGATTTGAAATCAAAGGATTAGAGCTTAAATAAAAGATTGGCTAAGGAAGATGGATTCAAAGGTATTAGAGGCATTTTTTGTTACAATCTCTGTCAAACTAGTATCCCTGCGTGCGTGGATTTCAAATAACTCCTTTTACCTATCTATTTGAAATCCATAAATGTAATCCTCTCAAATATATTCATGCATGCTGTTGAAAACTTAAATATAAATTTCTAAATCTAAATTTAAAATATATTTTTTAACTAAATGAACTAAAATCCCTTCATTTGAAATCCTTCAATCCAAATACTGAAAATTGAATATTAATTTCTTCATTTCATTCATGTATGTATTGTGTACCATCCCTTGGACTTGCTATATGTATGTGTGTATACTTGTTTTTTGACGCAAATACTTGGTTTATGTAATTAATTAATTGTGTTCTATTGTGTCCACCTTGTGTTTGTAGATTCCAAAAAATCCTCTGGGTCCCATAAAGGACGGAAGGGAATGCATTGGGCCCTAATAATAAAAATCAGTGCTCTGGTTTCAACTGTCTTCATTCCTGGACTGTTGGCAGCGTACAAGTATTGGCAGAAGAGAGAGAGGGATCAGGATCATGTCCGGTTCCTGAAACTGTTTGAAGACGGCAGTGACATTGAGGATGAATTAGGTATCGGACCTCTTGGCGGTGTAATTTGATGTTATAGCACATTACAAATTTACAACCAAAACCACTATACAGGTATGGATTCATCTGTGAAAGAGGAAAAAGGAGTTTTAAGTTAGAATTTTTGTGCCCAAATTTTGGCGTAGCATAAGTGGGTGAGAGATTCATTGTTGTTTCTTAGATTGTATTTGTTAGTGGTTCATAGCAATGAGTGGATCTTTCAAAGTAAGAGATTGTAATTTGGCATGTGAAACAAATAGACAAGAATATGCGAAATAAATGAAAAAATAACCTTTGAGTTTATATACCAAAGTTATTTGTCAAGTATGTTCTGAACCAGCAATGGATACACACTGATCATTTGATTGAATTCCACAATGGATAGGTAGAAATTGACATGACCATTTGTGATGGAACTTGGAAGTTTATTTTTTATTTTTCCTCTCTTCACGGTTAATTTTTCTAATCAATTATAGCACATTTCACCAAGCAAATGCCAAAATTACTACACAGCAAGAAAAAGGAACCAAACAAGTCATAGTTCCAGGTCCAGTCTTGTCAAACGAGGCCAGGGACCAAAGATACCTTCGGAGTCTCATCTCATCAGAACTAATAAGGGCTCAAATCCTCTGCTGTGAGTTACCCTGCAGTCCCCTGCTGTGAGCTGATGAAAAGCCTTAGTTTGGCCACGTGTGCTTCAGTTTGTAATATGTCTGTAGGCTCCACTAAAATGGTGCAAAACACATTATTCCGTTAAATCTGCCTTCCGTTAAACATCCATCTCTCAGCATCTCTGAAAAAGCCCAAAAGAGCCGGCTCTACAAATTAATTGAGCCGTCTCCAAAAAAATTGGGTTGAGCCGTCTCCACATTTCTTCTTGAGCCGGCTGTCCATTATTTTTTTTTTTTTTTTGCTTGGCAAGGAGCCGGCTCTAAAAATTCTGATCACAGGAACTCTGATTACCTTCACCATCAAAATAAGCTATTGACACAGTTCTGTAAAACTAATTTCTCACCTCTGTAAAACTAATTTGACACCTAAATTTAACATTTTTTAATTCTTTTATTTGTCATCTGTTAGTGTAAATTATGATATTTTTCTACTTGAAATTGACATTGGTTAAGCATTCTAGCATATTTGAAATGTTGGATAATTGAAGGTTTTTTTTCTATAATCTTCAATAACCATTCTAGTTAATGTAAAATCTTATATAATTGTTTTTTTTTAACTGAGTTGGCTTCATTAGGTACCAATTTGTTATCCAAATATTTTTCTTCTCATGTATGCGGCAATTACATATTTCACAGGTTATTATGTGACATTTATGAGAAAAAATACATTGTGAAGTTTAATAAGTAGGGACACTGATTACCTTCACCATCAAAATAAGCTATTTACACAGTTCTACTAAACTAATTTCACACCTCTGCAAAACTAATATCACACCTAAATTTAACATTTTTTAATTCTTTCATTTGTCATCCGTTAGTATAAATTATGATTTTTTTTTACTTGAAATTGACATTGGTTAAGCATTCTAGCGTATTTGAAATCTAGCGTAATTGTAAGATTTTCTTCAATAATCTTCAATAACCATTCTAGTGAATGTAAAATCTTCCGTAATTGTTTTTTTTTTTAACTGAGTTGGCTTCATTACGTACCAATGTGTTATCCAAATATTTTGTCTTCTCATGTATGCGGCAATTACACATTTCACAGGTTATTATGTCACATTTCTGAGAAAAAATATATTGTGAAGTTTAATAAGTAGGAACACTGATCACCTTCACCATAAAAATAAGCTATTCACACAGTTCTACAAAACTAATTTCACACCTCTGCAAAACTAATTTTACACCTAAATTTAACATTTTTTATTTCTTTCATTTGTCATCCGTTAGTGTAAATTATAATATTTATTTACTTGAAATTGACATTGGTTAAGCATTATAATGTATTTGAAATATTGGATAATTGTAGGATTTTCTTCTATAATCTTCAATAACCATTCTAGTGAATGTAAAATCTTCCATAATTATTTTTTTTTAACTGAGTTGGCTTCATTAAGTACCAATGTGTTATCCAAATATTTTGTCTTCTCATGTATGCGGCAATTACGCATTTCACAGGTTATTATGTGATATTTATGAGGAAAAAAACATTGTGAAGTTTAATAAGTAAGGACACTGATCACCTTCACCATCAAAATAAGCTATTCACACAGTTCTGTAAAACTAATTACACATCTCTGCAAAACTAATTTCACACCTAAATTTAACATTTTTTAATTCTTTCATTTGTCATCTGTTAGTGTAAATTATGATTTTTTTTTACTTGAAATTGACATTGGTTAAGCATTCTAGCGTATTTAAAATCTTCGATAATTGTAGGATTTTCTTCTATAATCTTCAATAACCATTCTAGTGAATGTAAAATCTTGCATAATTGTTTTTTTTTTTAACTGAGTTGGCTTCATTAGGTACCAATGTGTTATCCAAATATTTTGTCTTCTCATGTATGCGGCAATTACACATTTCACAGGTTATTATGTCACATTTCTGAGAAAAAATACATTGTGAAGTTTAACAAGTAGGGACACTGATCACCTTCACCATCAAAATAAACTATTTACACAGCTCTGTAAAACTAATTTCACACCTAAATTTTACATTTTTTAATTCTTTCATTTGTCATCCGTTAGTGTAAATTATGATTTTTTTTTTCTTGAAATTGACATTAGTTAAGCATTCTAGCGTATTTGAAATCTTGGTTAATTGTAGGATTTTCTTCTATAATCTTCAATAACCATTGTAGTGAATGTAAAATCTTCCATAATTGTTTTTTTTTAACTGAGTTGGCTTCATTAGATACCAATGTGTTATCCAAATATTTTGTCTTCTCATGTATGCGGCAATTACACATTTCACAGGTTATTGTGTCACATTTATGAGAAAAAATACATTGTGAAGTTTAATAAGTAGGGACACTGATCACCTTCACCATCAAAATAAGCTATTCACATAGTTCTGTAAAACTAATTTCACACCTCTGCAAAACTAATTTCACACCTAAATTTAACATTTTTTAATTCTTTCATTTGTCATCCGTTAGTATAAATTATGATTCTTTTTACTTGAAATTGACATTGGTTAAGCATTCTAGCGTATTTGAAATCTTGAATAATTATAGGATTTTCTTCTATAATCTTCAATAACCATTCTAGTGAATGTAAAATCTTCCATAATTGTTTTTTTTTAACTGAGTTGGCTTCATTAGATACCAATGTGTTATCTAAATATTTTGTCTTCTCATGTATGCGGCAATTACACATTTCACAGGTTATTATGTCACATTTATGAGAAAAAATACATTGCAAAGTTTAATAAGTAGGGACACTAATCACCTTCATCATCAAAATAAGTTATTCACACAGTTCTGTAAAACTAATTTCACACCTTTGCAAAACTAATTTCACACCTAAATTTAACATTTTTTAATTCTTTCATTTGTCATCCGTTAGTGTAAATTATGATTTTTTTTATTTGAAATTGACATTAGTTAAGCATTCTAGCGTATTTGAAATCTTGGTTAATTGTAGAATTTTCTTCTATAATCTTCAATAATCATTCTAGTGAATGTAAAATCTTCCATATTTGTTTTTTTTTTAACTGAGTTGGCTTCATTAGATACCAATATGTTATCCAAATATTTTATCTTCTCATGTATGTGGCAATTACACATTTCACATGTTATTATGTCATATTTATGAGAAAAAATACATTGTGAAGTTTAATAAGTAGGGACACTGATCACCTCCACCATCAAAATAAGCTATTCACACAGTTCTAACAAACTAATTTCACACCTTTGCCAAACTAATTTCACACCTAAATTTAACAGCTCTTGGGATTTAATAGAGCCGGCTCTTGAAGTTCAATGGAGCCGGCTCTAAGTTGTTGAGCCGGCTCATAATAAATATGGAGCCGGCTCTCAGAATTTTTAGAGCCGGCTCCTTGCCAAGCAAAAAAAAAAATAAAAATAAAAGGAAAAAAAAATAATGGACAGCCGGCTCAAGAAGAAATGTGGAGATGGCTCAACCCAATTTTTTGGAGACGGCTCAATTAACTTGTAGAGCCGGCTCTTTTGGGCTTTTTCAAAGATGCCGAGAGATGGATGTTTAACAGAAGGCAGATTTAACGGAATAATGCGTTTTGCACCATTTTAGTGGAGCCCACAGACATATTACAAACTGAAGCACACGTGGCCAAACTAAGGCCTTTCATCAACTCACAGCAGGGGACTACAGGGTAACTCACAGCAGGGGATTTGACCCCATTTATTATGGCCATATGCAAAAGTCGGTTCCTGTAGTCACGACAATATTAACAATTTCCCCTTCTAATTAAGACAAAACGCGTCAGCATATAAGGGGACCACCACAAACACTAAAACTATTCAACTTTTAAATTGGGCCTCTACAAGAAGCTTGGGCCGGGTTAACTAATCATAATAGGCGGAACTCATTAAGAAGGCCCGAGATGATGAGACCCCAAGCCCAATTACGAATATATTATTAAACTCATTCTAGTAACAGTTCTATTAGAAGAAGGATTATAATCTATGGAAACCAAATAATGTAAATCCTTATTATAAGGATAGTATGATGTGATTCAGATTCAATAAAGGACACAAGAAAAAAAGGCAAAACCCCAAAAGAGAGATCTAATTCTCATAGCCATAACTACACGCAATCTAGGTAATCCTGTTCATTATTTTTCTCCATTATTATTGTAACGACCCTAAACTGATACCATTAAAAAAAAAATTCAGCATGACCTCTCCTAAAAATGGGCCTACCACAACCTGTTTAAATACATTTTAAACCTGTTCCAGCACAATAAACATATAACACACTCCATGGTGGTACAACCACATACTATATCATCCAAATATCATATTTACAGTCCCAAAATATAGTTACAATAACAAGAGTTCACAAATCTCTATACCAAATATAACAAACTAAGATTTTACAAAAATATGAGACTTAATACAAAAATAGCAAAAAGAAGTCTTCTAATCCAAATTAGGCCTGTGGTGGAAAGTCATCCGCCACTTCTTTCCCATTTCCTGAAAAAAATTATTAAATAATAGGGTGAGCATAAAGCTCAGTAGGTAGCACTTAAGACACGCATCTTGTATCCTTGTGAATTCAACCAAAGAATAGAGCAATGGGAATGTGGGTCATACTATGCCGGGATCATATCACATAACAATCAACTCAAATATAAATAATATAATGTAATGGGAATGCAATGCATGTC